GGCAAGGTACAAGGCTGAAACTCTGCAAGGGTATTCTCTGTGCACGTTTCAAATTTAGTTATTACGTACGCTTGTGCTGCGCGTATGATCACGTCAGAGTTTGCAACTTGGCACTGTGCTAACTGGAAAGCTTGCCTGAAAACAGTGGCTGAAATTTTGTCAATATATTTAATCGCCCACATGGGAAATCGTATGCCTAAGTTGAATTCCGAATTGTACTTGTGCCTCGACTTGGGTACTTCGAAAATATTTGTAGCGAAGTGAATATTTCGTTTACCGAATAAGTTGCGAGGCTGAAACTTCGCTGGGATATTCTACTTTCATGCGCGGTCTTAATTCTGCTTGAAGGTGAAATTCCACGCAGGTGGTTATGAGAAATACTTAACTTTACTGTAAATTCAGAACGAGTGCATTTTGCAGCTAACGACCGCCCTCATCATTTCTCAACATGTAAATGAACTCATTTACATATTTGGATTTTTTGGCGAACGACCACTCTAGCAACATTTCCACTTTTCAGTGAACTGGAAATTTGCATTTTTTCGAAAAGCGAGCATTTACAAGAAAGATGGCTGGGCTTCATGCAAACCCAGGTTGGAACACACCGGATGGGCCCGTGCGACCACGCGTTTTTGCACCGGGCTTGAAGTACTCAGGTCACTAAATGCATGAATAGTTGTTGCTTTACACCCACCTTTTGCGGTCACTAGCATAAATCTCCATAAACTTCTCATAAAGTAAATTTACATCTTCCATTTAACGGTATTTCTTTAAAAATAAATAGCAACACGCACCAGACTAGCCGGTGCGATCATGCGTTTTGTGCAACTCAGTCCATCGAACGATTGCCTATTAATGATTTTCACTGCTTTCTATTTTAGTCCATTCAAAAATAGTTCAAACATTCGGAAACACTTAAAAATTTCACGCACCAGCGCATGAAAGGTGAATTCGAAACCTTGGGGGATGAATATCTTTCCTTGTTTCCCGAGTTAATAGTTTACCCGCCAAATTTTCACTAGCCCGTAGGTGGTACCTGAGAACGCGAGAACGCTGAATTTGAATGGGCAAGGTTGAGCATGGGTAGAGGGGTCATTAGCCTAAAATTTCAATTTTCTAGACTCCGTGGTTCCCGAGATATCAACTAACCCGTAAAAAACTTTCAAGGGGCCGTACGTGTTACCCGCGGGCACGGGGAAGCTGAATTTAAATTTGCGGGGTCACAAGTGGGTGGGGGACGCTCCCCTAAATTTTCAGCTTCCTAGCTTTTGTGGTTCCCAAGTTGAAAGTTGAGAACAAGTTGCTGCGGGCACACCCACACACGCACACACAAAGACACACGCAGACAACCTCGTGACAACACGCGTTTTGTACTGCTGTTGCACAGCACAAAACGCATAATAACCTATCTGTTCAGTTAGTAATAATCTATCTGTTAAATTTTTCCGCCAAAACCTTTTAGCACTCATACGTAAGAACCATGCATACCTCAACGCTGAATTTGAAACACTTAAGTTATACTTGGACAGGGAACATTCCTCTAAAATTTTAGCTTCCTAGCTTTTCTGATTCCCGAGTTAGTAATTTTCCCGCAGAAAATTTTATACGTCCTTACGTGAGTACCACGCATACCTGGGAGCTGAATTTGAAATCTTTAGCTCATACATGCATAAGGAATATCCCTGCAATGTTTCAGCCCTTTACTTTGCCTGGTTCCCGAGATCGCTTTCCCGCCGAAAAATTTGCATATTTTTTTAAAGCTTCCGTACGAGGCACTCAGGCATCAGAGGGGGACGAAATTAAAACGGGAGAGTCGCGCATGGTATGGGCACATACTCTCAAAGTTTCAGCTCTAGCTTTTTTGGTTCTCAAGTTGAAGGCGAGTAAAAAAGAATGCAAACACACACACACACACACAGCCGCTTTCCAATATGCGTTTTTGCAATTTGCAAGATATGCAATCATTGGCGACGCGCACTGGGCGGGCCCGTGCGATCATGCGTTTTTGCAACATTTTATGCTGAAATGAGTTCGTTTGGAACCCGGTAGCTAGGAATGTGTGATATACTGGTCCTCGAAATCCAGGAAGTGTGGACGGGGAACAATTCGTTGAAATTTCAGTTTTCCAAATTTTCTGGTTCTTGAGTTACTAATATTCC